ATATAAAATAGATGGACATAATACCTTTATTTTATTTATTTATTTTTATGTGCTGCTGAGGTTCAAACCCAGTGCCTAACACATGCCAGGCAAGAGCTCCACTGCTAAGCCACAACCACAGCCCCAAAGTAATAATTTCTTAAGGATAAGGCAAGGCATTTAACAAAAATTTTCTTTGATTTTTTACTTTTTTGTTTTTATATCTTGTTCTGAATGTATAAATTTATTCTTGAAGTCAACAGATTACAGATTATAAGTCTTGAAATCAACAGATTACAGATTATATCATTTTTTATACTTTATTGATCAATTCTCTTGGATTTTTTCTCAGACATCATTCTTTTAAAACAACTTCATTAAGATATAAATTACATAATGTACAATTTACCCACTTAAATTTTTTTAATTTTTAATTTTTTTTTTGGTACTGGGGATTGAACCCAGGTACACTTAATCAATGAGCCACATCCCCAGCCCTGTTTATCAGGTGTGTGCCACTGTACCCAGATACCCACTTAAATCGTACGGTTGAATACTTTTGAGAATATCAGATGGTTGTACAACATTAGCACAATCTAGTTTTAGAGCTTTTTCATCTCCCCTGGAAAGATACTCTCATATCCATTAAGAGTCAATCCTCATCCTTGTGCCTTTCCCCTGCCTCAGGACTAGGCAACCACTTTTGTACTTTCTGTCCCTATGAATTTTCCTGTTATAACCATTTCATATAAATGGAATAAAAATATGTGGTTATTACTGAGTGTAATCTTTTAAGGGTTCATCCACATTGTAGCATGCATAAAATTCATTTGTTTTTATTACATGATATTATATTGTATGGGTATATCACAATATGTATTCCTCAATTAATAGATATTCAGATTATATTTTTTGCTTTTACGAATAGTGTTGCTATTCAAAAAATACTGTACCAGTTTTTTTGTGGGCATATGTTTTCATTTGTCTTAGTTATCTATTGAGGCATGGAATTGGTCATATGGTAATTTTATGTTTACCCATTTGAGGAACTGCCATTCTTTTCCCAAAGCGACTGTATCATTTCATGTTCCGGCCAGAAATGTAGGAGTTTCCATTTACTTATCCTTGCCCAAACTCGTTATTTCTTTTTAATTATATCTAATGAGTATAAAGTGGCATCTTGTGGTTTTGATTTTTTTCATTTCACTAATGATTCATGGTGTTGAGCCATGAACATTTTTTCATGTGCTTACTAGTCATTTGTATATCTCTGGGGAAATAGCAATTCGAATTCTTTGCCTCTTTTTTGATTGGGTTATTTGTCTGATATATTCTGTGTACAAGTTCTATATCAGATAAATGATAAATGATTTTCAAATACTTTCTTCTAGTCTGTATTTTTAAAAAAATATTTATTTTTTAGTTTTAGGTAGACAAAATATCTTTATTTTATATTTATGTGGTGCTGAGGATCAAACTCAGTGCCTCATGCATGCTAGGCAAGCACCTTACCACTAAGCCACAACCCCAGCCCCTGTCTTTTCTTTCTTAATAGATCTTTTTTTTTTTTTTAATATATTTTTTTAGTTGTTGGTGGACCTGTATTTTTATTTATTTGTATGCGGTGCTGAGAATTGAACCCGGTGCCTCACACGTGCTAGGCAAGTGCTCTACCACTGAGCCACAACCCCAGCCCCTTAATAGATCTTTTGAAGCACAAATATTTTGATCAAGTCTGTTTTTTTTTTTTTTTTTTTGTGTGTGTGTGTGTGTGTGTTCTTTGTACTTTTGATGTCTTGACTAATCTTCTATTGGTAGAAGATTTACTAGAAGATAGACTCCATCATAACTTGAAAGTTAAAAAACTTCAAGTGTCTGACACTTTTATCTCTTGTACTTAGGACTTTGATCCATTTTGAATTAAATTTGTATGTGATGTGAGTTAGGGGTCATTCCTGTACACGTGGAACTACAGTTGTCCCGGCATCATTTATTAAAACTATTTTTATCCTAACCCTAACCCTAACCCTAACTTGGTGCACTTGTTAAGTAGAACTGTTTTTTTAAGCAGGTGCTCTACCCATGAGCTACGTCTCCCACCCTTGATATATTATCCTTAATATTGACTAGTATCACTCAAAAGAATGTTAATATTGTGACTTAAAACCTAAAGTTGATTGGCTGGTAGTTTTCTTTCTTTTCACATTTAGTATCTCCTTACCACATTATGTAAGGGAGAAGGGTGAAGGACAGGCTATTTACCAGAATTGGCAGTATAAATCTAGTGTCAGCTCTATGGGTCTGTCAGAGTATAGACAGCAAGCAACTTTCCTGGCCATTCCTGGGTGGAGAAGGGGGTATTGCGCCATCTGCTGAAGGGCAACTTTCCGATGAGTCATCATTGTAAGGGAAGTTGAAGATCTGTGGCTGTCCTGTTGACTGCTGGGTAGCAATAAACTATCAGACTCAGTGACTACAGGAGAAAAAACCCTATATTAGAGGTAGTTGGATATCTCTTGCTGCCTTGATAATAAGGATGTTAGATGAATGAGTGTTTTCTTCTGGATCTGAGTAATAAAAAAATTTAGCAACAACAGTAGTATTTTTGCTACTAATGTTAGTAGCTGTTTGCCTTAAATTTATTAGTGGGAAAAATTAGAGTATAATGGGAAGTCAGAAGAACTACTGTTGAGTTAACAAAAAACTTTTGATTTCTAAAGTAAAAGAAAATGCAGGAATTAAGGTCACATGCTGTAATTAATCTAGAAATATATTGCTTATTCACCATTAATTCAGGAGGAGCAAATTTTTTGCTTGTTTAGTTTGTTTTTACACAATCTATTCTGTTTTCCTTTTTACTGACCTTTTTTTTTTTTTTTTTTTTTTTACTCAACACTAGAGCAGCCAGAGAAGGACATGTTATATTTTCATTGTCTCTACGTATAGTCTGAGTATATCTGGGCCAGGAAGAAGGCTCTAATAAAAAGTACAGACGATTTTGGGAGTTACATTTATTTCCATACATTTTATAATTTTAGAACTTGGATTATATCAGGTACATATGAAATGAGGTGTATTTGTTATTGTTTTGGTGCTGGGATTGAACCCAGGTCCATGAGTATGTTAAGTGCATGCTGTACCACAGAACTACACCCCAAGCTCTGGACATGGTATGTAATTTCAATTTTACTGCCAGAGAATCTGCTTTGAGCAGAATCATGAGCAAACAAGCAATCATTGAGTCCAGTAGGACCCCACAAACACACACACACACACACACACACACACACACACACCCACACCTATCTCCCAGCCCTCTTAGGCAGTGTCATTTCATGGAACTTTCCTCTTTGTCCATTGATGTTTCAGCCTCTTGACCCCGAGACCAAAGCTCTCCCAGGGTCCCTTTTGCTGGGACTGGTTGCCCATTGGCAGCTAGAACTCAGAGGAAGAGAAGCAATCTTCATTCTCTTGGAAGAGAGTCACTGTCTAGAGGCAGCAGGGTTCCTGGGAGTGGCTGGAAGTTGTTTTTGAGACTCTTTTGGAACAGTATAATATCTCTAAACTCTTTCAAGTTCCGGTGGACATATAACTACTTTTAAAAATGACTATTTTGATAGAGGATTATAAATTAGATCAAGCAAATCAGTAGATGAATCTAAATCTCTCCTTCCTCTCTGCGCCTTCCTTCCTGTCTAGTTCAGACCTCCCTTGCCCCTGGACTCAGCTTCTCCCTCTCTCTAGTCCAGTGGATATAAGAGATTGGTGGGCCTGGCAGGTTGTAGAGCAGAAGAGGATTCCACTGTTAAGAGGGTTGGATAGGGATCCTGGTTCTACTACTGGTAATCCTGTGACATTGATAAGATGTAAGGAACACCCACTCAGGCTATCTGTAGAGTGTGTGGGTTTATGCACAGTTTTTGCACAGATTACTTAACTGCTCTATTATTTCAGTTGTGTAGAGCCCTTGTGCTCATTTGCTTAGACATCTGCCTCCACAGGATTTAAGGACAGGCTAAATGCCAGTCACAGTCTGACTTTTCCTCATTCTTCCTTCCTGGCACCACAGATCTGGCTTTTCTCTCAGTCTCTTACCACTTTCTTACTTCTGTCTTTTTGTCTGCAAGTCCTGAGTCCTTCCACATGCAGTGCCTCTCTTCCTTCCTTCTGGTCTATATCCTTACTGTCTGAGACACTTCTACCTGGAAGGAACCCACACCTCAGAGGGTTTTCTTGGCATGTTCTGTGCCACTCAAGTACTCAAGGCTTTCTTTATACCATTTTTATGTCTCAGGAGTAAATTACTTGAGTGTAAACAAACTATTTTTTCTAATTTCCTTGAATTTTCCAGAGCACTGTGAGGATAGCAAGTATTCAGTAGGGTCTTAATAGATTAGAAAATGTCTTTCTCATCTGCAGTTAATCCTTATCCTAAATGAATTAATCATTGTTGCCTTTTTTTTTTTTTTTTAACCAGGGATTGAACCAAGGGGCACCTGACCACTGAGCCACATCTGTAGTCCTTTTTATTTTTTTATTTTATCAAGATAGGGCCTCAGTAAGTTGCTGAGTCTGGCTTTGAACTTGAGGATCCTCTTGCCTCAGCCTCCTGAGCTGCTAGGATTATAGGTGTACACCACCATGCCTGGTCCTTGCCTTTTTTGTGGTTGTTTTATATAATATATAAACATAAAGAAAGTCACTTTTGTTAAACCCCTCAAACTAGTTTTGAACTTTTTCAATGCAGATGATAACATCTACAACTGTGTACCAACCTCCCTTGGGCTAGCCCATGCCTCCTAGTAGGCGTTGCAAGTATGTGTGTCAGCTTGACATAGTCTTGCTCTGTCTAGCTCTTTGGCTGGTCGATTCAGGCACTGAGCAGGCAGAATGCTATTGCAAATGCATTTATAGATCAGGATCTTTGTCCAGAGTAGGGTAAGGGATTTTTAATTTTTTTTGTAGCCTAAGTTTCTATAATGCTGTTTTAAAACTTTTCTTTCTTGTTTTTTTCCCTACAGGTAGTCGGGAAAGATTTCAGGACAAAAATGTTTCATTTAAGGACTTGTGCTGCTAAGTTGAGGCCGTTGACGGCTTCCCAGACTATTAAGACATTTTCACAAAACAAACCAGCAGCAATTAGGACGTTTCAACAGATTCGGTGCTATTCTGCACCTGTCGCTGCTGAACCTTTTCTGAGTGGAACTAGTTCGAACTATGTGGAGGAGATGTATTGTGCTTGGCTGGAGAATCCCAAAAGTGTACATAAGGTAAGTTTCACAGGATGATCTTCCATATTGGTGTGTTGTTCTAGTGCTGACTGGATGCCCAGGTAAGTGTGCGCATTCTGAGCAGTCATTGGGCAGACAGACAGGCGACTGGAGCCCTGCACCGACCACCACACCGTTTGCATTAAACCAGTGTGGCCTCAACAGAATTCGTTCCCTTGCTTGATGTACAGTAGTTGACAACAGGATCAATCCAACTAGCAGATGAAGAAGCACATGTATGGCCCTATGAGGATAAAAGGATGCTCATGTATACCCCTGCAAGGATGTGAAGAAGCACTTGTATGGCCCTACAAGGATAAGAGAAAACACGTATGAAGCCCTGCGAGGATGTGAGCAATTACGTGTTTATTCTATAAAGACTTGAGGAAGCATGCATGTGGCCTTCCAGGATCTCCCCCATGGCTACTTCAGGATGAAGCCTTTGAGGAAAGAAAGTATATGGGAAAGAATGGGACCTCAGGAAGCTCTTCCATCCTAACTGTTCTGAGAAGAGACTTACATATGATATACCTTAAAGTCGTTTAATGTAATTTCTGTATAAATGACCTTCTATTTATTTATTTATGGTTGTCAATGGATCTTTATTTTTTTAATTTATATGTGGTGTTGATCGAACCCAGTACTTTGCACATGCTAGGGACGCCCTCTATCACTGAGCTATAACTCCAGCCCCTAAATGACCTTTTAGATCATTGTGTTTCTGTTTCTTTCTGATTTCTCTGTTACTTATAGGGGCATCTTCTTCTTAGATCACTTTCTTTACATGTTTGCTGATATAAGTTACACCTGGAACAATGTGTTTATTCAGTTTGTGGCCAGTGAATATTTATAGGTGCCAGTAGCCATTTCTTTGTTTTTAGGTAAGGCTGCCAACTTGATGGGTGGGGTTGCAGTGCAGTGTGGGTGGAGGGTAGATTCTATAGTTCCTCATCTGTGTCTCATCTGTCTGGTCTCTGGAAGAGTAGAAGGAAATGAGAGGCATGGTGCTCAGCATTTACATGGAGGGCATGGTCAGCCAGCATTGTTTATTCATACTGTTAATTGTGCCTTTATCCCATCCTTGAATCATGAGGTTATCTTACCAATAGTATGTGCCCATTGGCCTGTGAATATGTTTCACCTTCAGGTGTCAGTGACATTGAAGAGTGAAACTGTTTTTGAGATAGCTGGATCCACCAGGCCCTGGATTGGCAGTAGCACCCCTTGCTTAGCCCTTTCCCCAAAAAGAAGTGTCCTATGAACGTGCTTCTGTTTTAGTTATGTTGAATCCTGGAGGTTCCTGATGACAGCAGGTACAGATTGTGTCTGACATAACATAGCCCAAACATTTCAGAGTCAAAGACTGTCATCTTGTGCCAGTCTTTTCTCAAATAACCTTTTTGTGACCAACCAACTCATTTTAAGTTGTGTTAGGATGTAGAGATTGCAGCTCCTGAATGACAGCACCTTGAATGTGAGAGAGATAAGAAGGACCTGGCTGTGAGCTACGTGGTCATGATGCCCATTCCTGAGTGGCCTCTGGGTGGTAGGACACACAGTAGCAATGGCCACAGTTTTCTCCGCATGGGACTGATACTAGTGTAGCTGCTATTGATGTAGCTTTTAAACAGAGTTTTGTGGAGGCATGGTGGCTTTGTGTTCCTTGGATGTGTAAATGACTAGTTCTTGAAAATTCTTTTTACCACATGGTATTAGAGAAAGCAGAATGTGATGGCTGGAGAGTAAGGGAACTGGTTAGGATACCTGCTGTGTCCCTAAGGTGGGGTAAGAGTACCCAGTTTAGCTTGAGCCAAGGGCCCCCCCCCCCCACACACAGATAAGGGCTGCTGAGGAAATGATCACATTCAGGAGAGGTCCACTGTAGGGGTTGTGCGTATAAGGGATTTTGTACTTTAATCAGAAGGTGTGTGTAGGTCCTTGGCAGATTTTATGACCATTTCTGAGTCTCTGAGGAACTCTTTCATTATCAGGTATGTGCTCTGTTCCTCTTAGCCTGAGAATAGAAGGAGGACTGATTCAGGGATCCTGGTGGGATTTCATTTTGATCTAGTGGGATTTCATTTCTCTTCTACTTTGCAGACAGTGAGGTGGATCCTATTCAAGCTGAATTAAACCCATATTTGGTGCATGCATGTTTTTCAAGCAAGATATTCCATAATTTCTTTCAAATTTTGAAAAGCATCTGTGACCCATAGAGGGTTAGGATTCACAGCCTAGAAATGCTTTACTTTATTAAGAATGCTTAATTTATGCCCTTTTAGAACATATAGTTTAGGTAGAGATAATACAATTACTGTAAGATTTAGATCATCTTTCTTATCTCCCACTTCCACTTCAGAAATGTCCTGAGGTCAGATTCCATATACATTTTTAGAAAGCTCAACTGCTTCTGGGATTGACCTTTCACATCCAGTAGAAGCAGAACAAACTCAGTGTCTCCCTCTTCTGCCCACCACTGCTTTTTTATTACTAATTTTTGAGCTTCGTATCACTGTGTCTTCAAGTACAGGTAATAGAGAGGAGTATAAAGGAAGCACCTGAGGAGACCCATCTTCCAGCTTTAGTAGCTCCACCCTGTGCTAGTCTGTTAAAACCCAGTTTGTGACCCACTTATTTTTTGTTGATTGATTTGTTATGGGTGGGGGTCCCACTGGAGTTTTTATAATAATGGGGATTGAACCCAGGGTGGGGGCACTTTGCTACTGAACGACATCCTCAGCCCTTTTTATTTTTGTTTTGAGACTGGGTCTTACTAGTTGCTGAGGCTGGCCTCAAACTTGGGATCCTCCTGCTTTAGCTTCCTGAGTATATGGGATTATAAGGTGTGCTACCATGATTAGCCACTGGATTATATTAAGGCAAATCCCAGACTTGTGTCATTTCTGGCATGAAATGCATCACTCTGACTGATAATGAGATGTTTTCATAACCATACCAAATAAAATTAATAGGATATTTCTCTAATTGAATCTCATCTTTGGTCTGTATTTAAATCATTGTAATTTTTGGGGTGAGGGAAGAGGTACTGGGGATTGAACTCAGGGGCACTTGACCACTGAGCCACATCCACAGCCCTGTTTGTATTTTATTTAGAGACAAGGTCTCAGTGAGTTGCTTAGTGCCTTGCTTTTGCTGAGGCTGGCTTTGAACTTGTGATCCTCCTATCCCAGCCTCCTGAGCCGCTGGGATTACAGGTATGTATGTGCCACTGCTCTTAACTGACTAAATCATTGCAATCTTAAAGCTTCCCCCCATCCCATCCCTACCCTGTTTTTATTGTTTGATACCAGAGATTAAATCTAGGAATATTTAACCATTGGCTACATCTCCAGTCCTTTTTTGTTTTTTATTTTGAGATAGGGTCTCACTAAATTGCCTAGGACCTTGCTGAATTGCTGAGGCCGGCTTTGAATAGGCGATCCTCCTTCCTCAGCCTCTCTAGTTGTTGGGATTACAGGTATATGCTACAATATCTGGCTTAAAGTTGCCATTTACATTTGGATTTAAACTTTATAGTTGGTTGTTGTATCCCTGTTTTCTTGTGTGTATGTGTGTGTGTGTGTGTGTATACACACACACACACACACACACATTTTGTTTTGAAATGGAGTCTGTGTTCCCCAGGCTGGCCTCTGTTAGGCTCAAGTGATCCTCCTGGTTCGGCCTCTTGAATAGCTGGGATAACAGGTATATATCACCACACCTGGCTTCTATCCCTGCCCCTCTTCATTATTTATTTATTTATTTTTCAATTATAAAACATTTGGTGCTTGGGATCAAACCTGGGGCCTCAAGCATGCTGGAAAAGTGCTTTACCACTTAGCTACACCCTTAACCCATTCTTCTTTTTAAAGAAAACTTGTTTTTAAAATATTTAGGGATGGGAATGTAGCTCGGTGGCAGATGTTTGCTTAGCATGCTGAGGCCCGGGTTTGATCCCCAGATTGCAAGAAGAAAAAGGAAGAAAGAAAAAAAGAAAATGTTTACTTGCAAACATTTCGTCTGTCATAAAGTATTAGAGCAAATCAAAACTGCACATTCCTTCTTCCTCTGGTTCTGCTTCCTAGGCAGTACTGTCAATTGGCTGAGTCTTCCTCTGCACCTGGCTCACTGTCCTGCCATTTGTTTCTGAATTTGATCTTATCCAAGACTGTTTTCTCTGTTCTAGGCTGGCATCTGCACTCCTCACTGAACTTTCTTAGGAAACTTTGAGGGTGACCTGTACCTCAGCAGATCAAGTCCTGCCTTTTGAGGGTCTAAGCAGGACACATGGAATGGTGACTATTTGTATTTTTGTCTTAAAAACAGTCAAAACTGCCAGGCATTGTGGTACATGCCTGTAATCCTGGCTACCTCAGGAGGCTAAGGCCAGGTGGATTATAATTTTGAGGTCAGTCTGGGCAACTTATGATAGATACCCTGTCTGAAAAAAAAAACAAAACAAAAAAACGGAAAGAGCTCAGAGATAGCTTAGTGGTAGAACACTTTCCTAGTATTTGTGAGTCCCTGAGTTTGAGTCCCAGACTATAAAACTAAAAAGAAAAACCAAAAAAGTCAAATGAAACAGTTTAATGTTTAAGATAAACAGTTGGGAACTGTTAAGCCCACACTGGTTTGGATATTGGTCTCATTTTGTTTGGTAGGGACAGGGGCCAACTCCCAAGTTTGGAGTAGCATCTAGTTATTCCCAGTGCATTGGTCAGCAGGTTCTGACCTTTCTAAGGAGGACTGAGGTTTGGTCCTGAGAGGGTGGAAGGAACTAGGGCAGTTGTCCTCTCTGCTGTGCTCCAGTACCTGCTTTGAGAATTCCAGCCATTGGCTCCTCTTTCCTTCTTTGCCTGATTATTTGGCTTTCCCATAACTTTTCCTGGACTCCATAGCTCTTTCCCTGTTTTGTGTCTTCTTGTTGGAACCCCTCTCTACTTCTGAAGGCCTGTCTTCTGGTTCTTGTTAATTGATGCCCATTTCTTGTTGACTTT